ATTGTGCCACAGGTCCTGGAGGCTCTGTTTTCTCTCTCTGTCACTCTCTCTCTCTCTTTCCCACAATGATGTTTTTGCTCTCTTGTTTAGAAGGATGATTTATCTTCAAGTTTATGGACTTTTTCCTCTGTCATCTCCATTCAGCTATTGATCCCATCCGGTGAAATTTTTTTTTCAAAAGATGACTGGTAAGGGTATCTTAACCCTTGACTTGGTGTTGTCAGCACCACGCTCTCCCAAGTGAGCTAACAGGCCATCCCTATATAGGGATCAGAACCTGTGGCCTTGGTGTTATCAGCACCACACTATCCCAAGTGAGCCACAGGCTGGCCCCCATCCAGTGAATTTTTAAATTTTGATTATTATATTTTTTAGTTCTAAAATTTCCATTTGGTTCTTCTTCATATCTTCTGCTTCTTTCTCTTTTGGTGGCTGGCTGGTTTGGGGATCTGAACCCTTGACCTTGGTTTTACTGGCACAACACTTTCCCAAGTGCACTAACTGGCCAGCCCATCTCCTGTTTCTTTGCTGAGACTTTCTTTGCATTTGTTTCAAGAGCATTAATGTTTACTTCTCAGAGTATGGCTACAATAGCTGTTTTAGAGTTTTTGTCTGATAATTCTAATATCTGTGTCATCTTGGGGGTGGAGTCTCTTGTCTTTTCCCTTGCAAGTGGTTGAGATTTCCCTTGTTCTTCATGTGTTGTTCAATTTTGGGTTGCATCCAAAATTTTAATATTATGAGATTCTGATTCTTGTTTAAATCCTATGGACAATTTTGATACTTTAAATTGTTATGGTAGACAATAAATTTAGATATGCTGAGTTCAGAAGTTCTGAACTGCCTTTTGGGGGCTGTGGTTCCAGTGTCAGTTCAGTTTTCAAAGTATTTGCAGTGCTATTTGGATCTGTCCCTCATTTGTGCCACCTAATGGCCAGTCCAGGCGGTGATCTACCTAGAGAACAGTTCTCAAAGCCTTCGTTTTGTTGTTTAGGGTCGGATCTTCATAGGTGCAGCTTAGGGGTGAGACCAAGAATTCATAAAGATCTTTACAAGATAATTTTCCTGAGCTCCTTTCTCTCAGTGATTTGCTTGGTACTTTCTGACTCCCAGGGGACCTCCATCCTGGTGTTCTAGCTAGAAAGCTGATGGTTTGGATTTCCTACTCTACCAAACACCTGTTGCTACTTCTACCTCCCCAACCAAGTGGCAAGAGGGTTGAGAGAAAGAGAGGGAGAGGACATGGCAGGAAGGAAGAGGGAAAGCAAAACGGATTTCTGTAATGCTCTTGTATTCAAGATTTGGTTGAGGGCCAGCCCGTGGCTCACTCAGGAGAGTGTGGTGCTGATAACACCAAGGCCATGGGTTTGGATCTCTATATAGGGATGGCTGGTTGGCTCACTTGGAAGAGCGTGGTGCTAACAACACCAAGTCAAGGGTTAAGATCCCCTTACTGGTCATCTTTTTAAAAAAAAAAAAAGATTTGATTGTTGCCTTGTCTCTTGTCCCTGCAGCCAAAGGATTGCCTGAGGCCTAGGACAGAAGAGATCAAGAAAAAAAAAAAAGGAATGAGGAATTCCGTACTCTTGGCTTACGTTTTATGTACCCATGCTGCTGGGCTGCCATTGTTGCTAATGTGATTGCCTAAAGCTAGGGTCTGAGAGAATAAAAAAATCTGAAAAACAAAAAATGAGAATTTCCCATTCTGCCCTGTAGAGACCCCTGTCTCTTGCTCCTCAGTCCAGAAAAAGTGGACTTCTCTTGAATTTCTTCATATTTGCACCCAGTGTACAGATCTGGGTTTCAGGTTTCAGGCTGTCCCTGAGTCGAGGTCAGGACATATCAGAAAAAATAAGAAACAGAAACTCACCGCCAGTTTGGTGGTACTTTGAGTTCTTCCATCTTCCTGCTAGCTTATTCTTCAGAGTCCTCACATAGCTTTTCTGTGTATTCCGTCCAGGATTCTTAGCTGTACTCAGTGAGAGAGACAGAGTGGCGTGTGCTTACTCCAAAAGACTTTTCATCGATAAGCTTATTTGAGAATAGTTTAAGTGGAAGATTATTTAGAGAAATTCTTCAAGCGAAAAATGGAGCAAACAACAAAGAATGTGAATAAGGAAGATGTCTTTTTAAAAAAATTCTGTTTCTTTGTTACTAAAAACTTTCCTCAAACTAGCTGTCTAGTATGCTTTTCACATCTTGTCTTGATTTAAAAATTTAGACATTTGGACATGATTTTTTTAAAAGTATAGTTTTTAAAACCAATGTTTTTAACATTTCTTTTTGAAGTGCTAGAGATATTTTTATGTGTTATCTGGACATTTTGATCAAGTGAATGAAATTTATGGATCTGGTAACTACTTTTTGAGTAAAATTTATAGTTATTCTTGAATGATCCTCATTACTTGAGTTTTAAAATACACGCTCCTTAAGTGTCTTTCTTTAACTAATTGTTCATTATAAGTATAACAAATCATATAATGAAATAAGATCAACTTAAAGATTGTATAAAGCCAGTAATACTTATTATGACTGATTTCTGAACTTTTTATCTGATCTTCGCTGTCAGTCCTACGTGCTCATTTAGGAGTCACTTACAAAAAAGGATATCCAGATGGCCAGTGAAAAAGTATTTAACTTCATTTGTCAATAGGAAAATGAAAAATCAAGCCACCATGCAATACCACCAAAACAGCTAAAATGAAAAACACAGACAATATCAACTTATTGGCAAGAATATGGGGTAACTGGAACTCTCATGATGATGACAGGAAACTTAAACTGCTGCAACCACTTTGAAAAAACATTTGGCAGTATCTGCTAACACTAGTCCTAAACGAGAAGACCCTAGAACTAGCAATTCCATTCTTTAGTATTAATAAACAGAAATGTATATATATATATGTCCACTAAAAGAATGTACATGAGTGTTCGATATGGCCTATTTATATTAGCCAAACACTGGAAACTACCCAAATGCATATCAGTAGTATACTAGATTAATAAATTGTGTATAGTCACATAAAGGAATACTACATAGAGGTGAGAATGAATGGAATACATACTACATGTAACAATATGAATGAATCTCCCAAGCATGATGTTGAACAAAAGAAGTTCATATCTTGATCTGGATGTAGATTACCTGAGTATATTCACACTGTGAAAATTCATCCAGCTATACACTTAGGACTTGTGCACTTTTCTGTATGTATATCATATGCTCCAGTAAAAAGTTTACTAAATGAATTAAGTCTTGACTTTTTTGTTTGCTTGTTTTTTTAAAGATTGACTTTTAGTAAACCTATTTGTTACTGGCCCCTTATTGAACTCAGGTGGAGTAATTTTTTCAGTTGATTCTCTTGGGAATTATAGGTAGATGATCCTCTCATCAGAAAACTAGGATGTCTCTTACCTTTGAGAGAATAATTTTTTAAAGCCAAAAAACATACATAGAATTGATTTTTTTTAAGCAGCCCAAATATCTTTCAAGGAAAAAGTAAGGCCTGCTGCATATAGAGCCTATTGCCTTGTCCCTTCTATGGACCCATAAATCTATGCAGTGTGAAAACTCAGATGGTACTCTAACAGAGTGGCCTTTGTGTTGTCCCTTTTAATTGAGTTAATCTTTTACATTATGTTCATAATAGATGTGGATACATGTAAATACTAGTCATATAACAATTCTCTTTGTTCCTCCCCAACCCCTTCGTTTTGTTTTAGGGTTTTTTTGTTGTTGTTTGTTTTTGCAGATCTTTTCACAGATGCTGCTGAGACTGAAAAAATGGCCAAAAGTTTGGAAGATTCTGAAGGAGTTTATTTTGTTCCATCTTTTAGTGGATTACAGGTATGTTAAAAAAAAAAAAAAAAGCTAATGTTAGGTTTACATTTTACATCCTTTGCAAACATTTTTCTTCTTCTACCACACCCAAAATTATATATCTATCACTCTGTTACCTGAAAATGTGGGCACTGAACAGAACTAAGATGAAAGGTGCATTCTAGGGCTGAAAAGTTGTGCTCTGACCCAGTATGAATTCCATGAGACAGCAGAGTGTCCCGAGTGTGACCCTGCCAGTTTGGCTTGTACTTAGAGCATTCCGCTGGCTTCTGCTTAGAACTGTATCTCTTTGGAACCTAAAAGTGGGCAGATTTATCATAGAACTTTTATATAAACCTGGAATTAATTTATCATGACCAAAAATAGTCATTTTCCAGTAGGGGAAAATATATCAATAAATCAGCATTCTGATACCATTGTGAATTAGAAAAATAATGTCAGGGTACATAGGCACACACACACACACACACACAAAATATGTGTACACAAAAATATGTGTATATTTTGCAGTTATGTATCTATAAGTTTGATTAACTTTTTAAAAAATCAAAATTTCTTTTTATTAATTGTTGTGCTGGATTATTGGTTACTTTGCCCAATCAAAAAGTGAACCTAATAAAAGACTTGATTTTGTAACATTTAACTTTGTATTTAATTGAAATATCTGTTATAATGTGTTTAATTTTAGAATATTGTCACAAAGACTTTTTAAAAAACTATGTAGGTATATTATTATGAAAAAAATTACTTTTTTGGGAAAGCTTGCACTCTTTCTTTTAATCCTCCTCTATATATTTTTTTCTCTACCCAAAATAAAATTTTTTCTTTCTTCTAGTTTATCCCATATTCAGGCAGTCAGTTACAAAAGCCCCAAATTTGAAAGTTTGGGTAATATAATGTGGAAGCTAGTGAAAAAAAAACAGGTCAGAGTGTTTTAAATCTTTAAAAATATCATACTTCCAAAAGTAATTTTTAAATGAGCATTATTTGAATATCTTTAATATTTATCTTCTAGGTACTTTATTCTAAAGGATTGAAAGCTTATGATAAACTATAGAGATTTCATTGCGTTCTCTTCAGACTGATATGAGGCAACCACTAAATAGCACCCATGATAGGACAGGTAGTGAAACATATTTACATAAATGAGTTTTCAGGAGGAAGGTTAGTTGAATAATTGTCAACAGCAAAGGTAGGGTTTGATTAGGTTACTACTGATTCTTCCTGAAAAATGTGCTGTGGGACTTAGTAGTGACTTTGTCTTAACAACTCTTCATTACCCCACACGCCTTAAAAATAATATAAAGTGTATGATAAAAAAATCAAAGTATTGTTGAAGCCCAAAAGATTTAGACAAAACTACCACAGATATGATTTTTAATTTTATCTCGATAACAAAATGTCCCTGG